TCACAGGAAATTTACAGAAGCATAAAAAAATATGCAGAACAAATATCTGAAACTTATACATGGGTTCTGGAGTTATCCTTCGTTAAAAGCAGATTTTCAAACAAAATTGCCTGTTGTTTTTATATTATTTCAGACAGGGTATAATAAATTTTCCCATGAAAAATCAGCCACGTTGTAATGCATATCTGTGGCAGATTTCAATCAGATATATGGGAGATTTGCGTGAAAGGTAATTTCAAGCGTAATGGAACTCCTTTGTAAATGGATTGAAACTGACAATTGTAAATGGATTGAAACTGACTGAGGATAATTGTAGGAAAGCCGTTAATCTATTCCGCAAAAATGAAATTAAGTTCCCAACCCTGTCAGGTGGATAATGGCTGCACAGGTCTTTTGTACTGCAGCATCAAAAGGCGGGAGAGGTTGAACGATGAGGTGAAAATATCATACTCTCTATTGTGGAGTCCTTGGGACTCTCTGAGCTTGGTTGTTTTCTTGCAGATGTCTAATTATCCAGCTAGGGAACATCATCAGTGTTGATGGGAACACTTAAAAGATCGAGATCTGTATTGTCACAGAGTGGTTGGATGGCCTAGAGGTGGAGCACTTGCCTCGAAATCAGAAGGCTGTGAATTCAATCCTAGGTAGAAGCAGATATTTCTTTTTCTGGGCACAATGAGAATATATCTGCTGGACAAAACTCCGCATTGGTGACAGGAAGGGCATCTGGCCAGTAAACACTCTGCCAGCTTCATTCAGTTGACCAGACTCCACCCCGCAAGGGATTATCAGGTCATTATCATTATCATGACGATGATTAACTTTAACTGTCCAAATAGTGAACCGAATAATGAATAATGCATATCACATCAATTCTAAGAAAAGGATTTGTTCTCTTTGAGAAAAGTATAATTTTTTGCCAGTCCATTTTTACCCTGCCATACAGTACATCAATCAAATCAGGATTTGATGTGTCTGAAAAGACTCTTCATTTTTAGACCTGTATCTAATTATCACCATCCTTTCTACTTTTGCTCTGTTTGGTTATTAATTAAAAATCAATAAAAATAATTTAAAAAAAGTCTCAATCCATTCTATGTCGAGAAGAAATTAGAATTTTTTTTTCTGCTCACCATTTTATTATCAATACAGTTTGTAGGTAACTGTCAGCATTCCAAGTAGCAACCTCCACACAAAAAGACTCTGAGAATATCATCTTCTCAAAGATCCATTTTATTAGACATGTCATATTGGCACATCTGGGGAAAACCCCTGGCCCAAAGAAATTCCAAAATCCAATCCCTGCACTCAATAGTCCATCACGTGGTCCAATCGTTAATTTGTTCCAACTGTAGACTATCCCCAGTCACTTTCCTTCAGGTGCAGGGTAACATGTCCTTGACTCTCTGAGAAAGGAATGTTGTTGTGGCTATTCTTCCACCGCTCCTTGAAGTCCCCCTCCCAGGCACTGAATTCCTGAATTCCAAATTCCTGAATTCCAAATTTCCAGGCACTGAATATGGCAGCCCAGAAGTCTCAAAGGAAAAATGGCTTCCAAGCTGACAGGAACAGACTAAAAAAATAGTAAATAGATTTAGTAGTTTAATAATTTCAAATATTTTGGCCTGTTTCACAAGGGGTGGGGAACCAAATTTGATCTATTATATAGATAGTCTTTGACTTATGACCACAAGTGAGCCCAAAAATTTATATGCAAAGTGAGACATTTGTTAAGTGAGTTTTGCCCCATTTTATGAACTTTTGCTACAGTTGTTAAGTGAATTACTGCAATTGTTAAGTTAGTAGCATGGTTGTTAAGTGAATTTGGCTTCCCTGTTGACTTTGCTTGTTGGAAAGTCATAAAAGATAGTCACATGACCCCAGGACACTGCAATGGTCATAAGTATGAGTCAGTTGCTGAGTATCTGACCACATGATTCTGGGGGATGCTACAATTATTATAAGTGTAAAAAATGGTCCTAAATCATTTTTTTCAGTGATGTAACTTTGCACAGTCACTAAATGAACATGTGATGACCCAGAGTGTAACACAAATGTTACAAAATCCAAAACGTAAATAAATGTCCTTTAATGCCTCCAACTTGGCCCCACTGTTCAATAATACTCAGTTGGAGATAAAATGTACTCAAAAATAGTCTTCAAAAGAAAGCAATACAGTCCAAATTTAATGAGCAGATAGAGGTGAAATAAAAAACCAAACAAACCACAATGATGAAATTTCCACAACGGAACAAGAGAAGTATTTACCAAATTCAAGGAGATAACAAGGCACAGTCTGTCAGAAGGACGCCAACCAAGATAACTTCAGACCAAAATAAAACATGTTTTGTTTCCAATGTTCGCCAGTATGCAGGTCCAAACTCTTATTCAGTTCCAAAACCTGCAGCCCATGAAGAGGATCAAGGCCCTCTCCTCCCAAGGAGACCACATCTTTCCCTTATCCTCTCCTTCGTGCATGACCTAAAATGGATAGGGGGTGGGCCTGGGTCCTCCTCTGACTGCTCAGCTGGCCTCTGCCCTTCCCCAGCCTTCTCCACAACCTCCGGAGTCACACTTCTACTCCCTGTCAGCTGTTCTTCCTCTCCCTCACAGTCAATCTCCACCAGGAGCATGACAGAACTGTTCTAAGTGGAGAACAATCTGTATAAATCAGCATTCAACTAGGGAGGATGTTATATGTATAAGAGTTATGTCTCTCTTTTTTCTTTCCCTTTTTAAGACACTTTTTCTTTTTTATGTATTTTTTGCTATCTCATTATTCTCTTGTCCTCCTTTAAATATCTTGGTGTTTTGTATTTTTAACCTTCTTTGAATAAACTAAAAATTTCCTCCGTGGAATTGTATATGACACATTTCGGAAGAACTTTCTCTAAGATTATATGTAATAAGAGAAAAGAAGAATGGAGAAAACTGTCCCAAAGGTACTTCTTTTTTTTTTTCAAGAGGCAACTGGACTTTCTGGTTTTTTTTCTTTGAAGATGTTTCGCTTCTCAATGTCAGTGGTGAGTTGCAACTGGTTTAACAACCAGTTCTGTGAATGCTCACTTTGCGCACGCATGGATCATTAAAAAACCAGCAATTTGAAGCTCTTCAGCTCACCTTTTAGCTTCCCTAGTGAGTAGAACAGCTGAGGCACAATAATCCACTTTGCCATGCGAATCAGCTGAGCTGCAAAAGAAGAAAATGTAAGACAGGATAGGGCGGGGCCAACTCATTGTCATTCGAACCGGTTTGCTAGAACCGGTGCAAACCAGCAGCAACCCACTAATGCTTCTCATCCTAGAAGCTTCTTCAGCTCTGACTGGATGATGGGGGAATGGAAGAATTTATACTTATACTCCTTGCAGAGAGTTGGTCATAAGAAGTATAAATCCTTCCATTCCCCACCATCGAGACAGAGCTGAAGAAGCTTCTTAGATGAGAAGTGAACTGTCTTCAAAGAAAAACGAAAAAGTCCAGTTGCCTCCTGAAAAAAGCACCTTTGGGACAACTATGACTTGGATGATGGAGAATCTCCATAGACAAATGCTGAAAACGAATAATTCAGGATGGAGCCATTCATGGCACCATCACTCATAATCTTAAAGAAAGTTCTGCCGAGATGTGTCATCTACAATTCAATGGAAGACATAACTGGTAAATTATTTTGGGATGGGAAGGTAGAAGGTCTACTTAATGCAGTTGCTACAGATTTAATAAACCCCATAAGAAGAACTCTACATGAAAAACATCATGGGAAAAACTGCACAATCTTAGCAGTAAGCAAAGAAAGAAAATAAAAAGGGAAAACATAAAATCAGGTCAAGAAGTTCATGCTTGACATTTAATGTTAAAAGTTACAAGGGAAGATGATCTTTCCCTTCAGGCTGCCAAATGAAATGAGCTCAGTGAGAATTAACTTTCACATAATAGAAAACAAATTAGCACATTAGCACCATTTAAAATGAGTGAAGCCTTTGATTCTGTAAATGATAAGACTCTCTTAAATGACATCCATGTCATATACGTGATGAATTTTTTTTCACTGAAGATAAAAGGAAATAATCTTTCATGCAGCATAAAAAGGGATTGAAAGACTGAAATAATTCTACACGACGTTGGTTTTCTTTTAAAAATCAGGATTGAACTACAGATACCGAACATCTAATTGTTTTAAAAAAAGAAACTCAAAATATCAGATATATGATATAACGAATTTCATTTGTTATGTGAATTTAGTGTACCTTATGATTCTTGATGAATGTATCTTTTCTTTTATGTAAACTGAGAGTATTTGCACCAAGACAAATTCCTTGTGTGTCCCAACCAGACTTGGCCAATAAAGAATTCTTTTCTATTCTAATTTCATTTGATGAACTAAAGTTTCTGAAAAACAGCATTCTTTATTATTAATCAGCCAGATGTTTGGTTGGGGTTGGGTATTTTTTATCCAACTATCAAGTCTGTCCCAAATGGCTATAGGCAGATGTTGTGTAATGGGGTTCTAATTGCAGGATGTAAGCTGTTCCTAACAAAGCTGCCTTCCACATTTCACTAGTATGGATTTTGTCAATGACAATGTTGTACAAGTGATGAGGCAATTGTTTTGGGATTGCATCCAAGGTGCCTATTTCTATCAGTACCACCCTTGCTTGCCTTTACCACAAACATTATATTTCTGTTTGCAGGTCTTTACATTTTGTGATTTTCTCCAGCTCTTTCTCTTCTCTTCTGCTGTCTCCAGGTACGGCCACATGCACTATTCAAAATTATTATTTTTTGGTCTTATCAACAGTTGTTTCATCTGGGATGTTATGGAGCAGGTGCTTTCCTGTTTGAGTTCTAAAGTCTCAGAGCATTTTAGCTTCTTCATTTTCTATGACTTTCTCCATTTTATGGTTCCAACAGTTCTTCCTTGCAGGTGAATGATATTTGATTAGGATATCTTTAATAGCAATAGTACTTAGACATATATGGCTTTATAGCCCTCTCTAAGTGACACTTGGCTATGACAAGTTTACAATGTCAGCCTATTTCAGAGGTAGTATTCAGCAGGTTTTGACCAGTTCTGGAGAACCAGTGGCGGAAATTCTGAGTAGTTCGGAGAACCTTCCCTCAGGTGTGAGGGAATAGAGATTTTGCACTCCCACCAAGCCACTCCCACAGAACTGTTAGTAAATTTTTTTGAATCCCACCACTGGCCTATTTCCCTCACCAATCTGGGTCCTCATTTTACTGACTTCAGAAGGATGGAAGGCCGAGTCAACCTTAAGCCAGTCAGGATCGTACCTCTGGCAGAGGGCAGTAAGTTGGTAATATGGCTGTCTAATCACTGTGCCACCATGGCTTCCTTCCTTCCTTGTCCTCATTTCTCTTCCTTCCTTCTCATCTTACTTCCTTCTCATCTTCCTTCATTCCTTTCTTTTTCTTCATAAGCAATAGCATTTGGACTTATATATCGCTTCATAGTTCTTTTCTTTTAGTTATCTAAGCAATTTACAAAGTCAGCCTATTTCCCTCAACAATCTGGGCCCTCATTTTACTGACCTCAGAAGGATGGAAGGCTGAGTCAACCTTGAGCCAGTCAAAATCAAACTGTTGGCAGTCAGCAGAATCAGCCTGCAATACTGCAATATTCACAAATTGCTTAGATGTCAGTAAACTCTAGTTAGATGTCAGCAAACTCTAATAACACCAGTGATATACATTTTCAGATTTGATCATAGTTTTATACCAAGGAACTAAAAGTGAAAACAACTTCCGTGTAGAAAAATATATCCTTATATACCTCAGAAATAAATGGATCCTGACAATATCCAGTACTTGAGCGAATTAAGAGGACAAAATATGGTATGTTTTACTTTAGATTGTTAAAGATAGTAAGTAGGGAAAATATAATAAAGGTGACTTATATTATATTTCTTCAATTCACACTAAATTATACAAAGCAGTTATTTTGAAACAGTGTGCAAAAGCAAACAAATTCCAAAGGGACGTATGTTGGTTGTAGCTAAAGAAATATAGCTGGACTTATAGCACCTTAAAATGTAACACATCTTTGAACATTTTTAAACTGTTGAAGTTTAAATTATTTTGTAGCAATAGATATTTACAAACAATTGTTGAGTGATATCATAGAGGTATCTGCATTACTAAGGTAACAGACAGAATGTGATTAAACAAACACGCTTTCAAATCAAAGGAGAGTGTTTACTTCCTTATAAACTATTCAGAATCATTCTATTATCATCTATCTTTGACGTTCCTTTGTTTAACAAATTCCATGAAATTCAATTCCAAAATGAGAAAGTCTAATTCTCTACTTACTACAATTCTGGTTATATCTTTGTACCCCTATTTGGATGGAGTCTGGCCTCTAAATTGGGTGTAGAAAGCCACAGGATGTGGTTTCAAATTATAAATGAAGAGTAGCATCTACAAAATCTTTCAGGTCCACCTTCAAGTTATAGTACAGCTTTCCTCGGCATACACCAACATTACTTGATTTTGGGGTGTGGGGGGTGGACGAGAAAACCCCAATGTCCCTTCCAATCCTATTATTCTGTATTTTGTATTTAAATAATGTGGGAAGAAATATCTATCTGATTCAGTTCCAAGCTGGGGGAAAGACATTGGAAACATGGAGGTTGATTGGAAAGATGGTTTATTGGTGAAACAGAACCACATGGGATTCTGGACAGCTGAAAAATGGAATTGAGAGTGAGGTTTTTTAGTACTTTCTTTGGGCTTTGCACTTGAGCTTCCTGTTCCTGTGCAAGAACATGTATTCAATTGGCTGTTGTCAGAATCCCCTGGGGTCATGTAGGGGTTATGTAGGATTCATAGCTGGCTCTATAGGCAAAAGAGAAAATGCAAATCCTAGGTGTTTGTCTGAGCTCCCAAGTTTGGTTGAAGCTTGAACTGTTCTTGGGATGGTGCAATGAAGGGGCTTCTTTTCTGAAAGGATGTTGGGCAATTCCTATTACATCTTAATGCCTTTCCTCCTGTTATGGATGTTGAGTGAGAACTAATCCTACCATTCTTTGTTCAGACTTTGCTGCAGGGAGTTTCAAAATATCCTGTCTTGAATGCATGACCAAATCTGCATTTCTAAAAGACGGCCTCCTCAGTTTCTGCTTGGGGGCAGGGACACTAGGGCTGGTTTCGGAATAGGATGGGCCAATCTTTCTTAATGGGCACAAAATATCAGCTGGGGCTATTAAGAAAGACTGGGTCTTCTTCCTGCCTCTAAAAAAATCATGTTTTTTTTCCATTTCTCATTTAGGGTAATGTAATATTCTGCCTTTTAAAAAAAATATTCCTCAAAATATTTCATTCTTCTAGGAGGATGAGTGCTGACTTTCTGTAGCAAGGGTCTTCAAACTTGGCAAGTTTAAGACTTGTGGACTTCAACTCCCAGAATTCCTGAGCTAACACGACTGTAGGAGGAATTCTGGGAGTTGAAGTCCACGAGTCTTAAAACTGTCAAGTTTGAAGATCCCTGATCTGCAGCAATCTTCATAGTTTTATAAGGTAGCTTATTGTTGAAGCCCAAGGGTCTCCTTCTTCATCACAAATACTCAGTTTTTGCTAAAATGGAAAGTTTGATCCTATGGGTGGTGTAATCATCCTTGATCAAATTATTCCTGGCCAAATCACTCTTCCAATTCTTGTCTCCCTCATTTTAGAAGTGCAAATATGTATTTCTCGGTTTCTATAAAAGGGAGAAGGGGAAGATTTTTCGATCACATAGGTCTGATCCAATTTAAAGTGCTACAGCTGAGACAGAACTTTACTCTGTGAGTAAGTTGTAGGCCTCAGATGGTAGACCGGTGTGATTTGGATTTTCTCCATCTCAAAGTCAGACTGGCTAAGCTAGATGAGGAAAATGGTTTTCAAAGCACAAATGAGGCTGGCACATTTTCACATTTATATAAAGAAAGCAGCTCAGAATCCAATTTGACCCTCTGATTATTCAATGCCTGTGCTTGGAAAAAATATATGGACGTTGTCAAAAAGAGAGGGAACACATTATGAGGAAAGACTAGAAATATATATATCAAAATATTTCTCCTGTCCTTGTTGGAAGAAATGCCCTGCTGTTATGAACTTAGCATTGGTATCATCAAGTGGACATCATTGTGACACGAGAAACAATTCTTCAGTAAGACTTTGGGTTAATATAAAATGGCCGGGCATGTATACAAATGGGCTGGCTAATTTAACTGAAAACAATAATTAAAAAAAGACATCTTGTGACAACCACACATAAAAAAAAATATTGCAGTATCTTTACAACCAGTGTCCCACTGTGCAACAAATACAAATTGTGCAGAGTTAAGGAATTTTGACTCCTCTACTGCCATGAGACTGTAAGCTGTAAGCTGTAAGCAAGGTGAATTTTTCAATTAAATGATTGTAGGAAAGACAACCGAGAGCAGAACTTAAGCACTCGTTGGGGGAATCAAACAAGGCCATCTCTTCCTTCCGAGTTCATCCATTTTTAGCATTTGGTTTCCCCATGGAAGTCATCTCATTTTTCTCTTATGACCCCTGTGTTTTTCCCTCAGCAGCTTCGCCTGACAGCCTATTTCATACATTTATCACTCTGGCACGGGAGGAAAAAAAAACAGCTCCATGACACCTGTTTAGAAAGTGTGAGAAAGAGCTGAGTGCATTTTCTTGCCTTCCAGACAGAGCAAATAAATAAATAAAAAAATAAATAAATAAAATCCTATCTGAAAGAGTCTGTACACTTGTAACGTGTACTATTTTATTACAAACTGCAAAAATAGGTTGCTACTAACCTTTATAATAATTTAATGGATTAACAGATTTAACAGAGTAACAGACATGGAAGGGACCTTGTAGGTCATCTAGTCCAACCCCCCTGACCAAGCAGGAGACCCCACACCATTTCTGACACATGGCAGTCCAGTCTCTTCTTGAAAGCTTCCAGGGATGAAGCTCCCACAACTTCTGAAGGCAGCTTCTTTTCCATGGGTTGATTGTTCTCGCTGTCAGAAAATTTCTTTTTATTTCCATGTTGAATCTTTCCTTGTTCAGTTTCCTTCCATTATTCCTTGTCTGGCCTTTGGGTGCTTTGGAAAACAGCTTGACCCCCTTCTTCTCTGTGGCAGCCCCTCAAATATTGGTAGACTGCTATCATGTCTCCCTTGTCCTTCTATTCACTAGACTAGCCAAGCCCAGTTCCTGTAACCATTATTTCTATGTTTTAGTCTCCAGTCCCCTAATCATCCTGGTTGTTTTTCTCTGTACTTTTTCCTAGAGTCTCAACATCTTTTTTATAATGTGGTGATCAAAACTGGATGCAGTACTCTAGGTGTGGTCTTACTAAGGCTTTATAGAGTGGTACTAGTACTTCCCTTGATCTTGATTGTATCCCTCTGTTAATGCAACTTTGGATTGCATTGGCTTTTCTTGGCTGCTGCTGCACAATATTGGCTCATATTTAATTGGTTCTCCACTAAGACTCCAAGATCCCTCTCATAGTTACTGCTATGAAGCCTGGTTTCACCCAACCTATATGTGTACCTTTGGTTTTTCTTGCCTAAGTGTAGGATTTTACTTTTCTCTACACTGAATTTCATTTTGTTAGATAGGGCCCAGTGTTCTAGTCTATCAAGATCCATCTGGATCTTGAGCCTGTCAAGGCCTGAACAAGGAGAGATTTAACCTGGAAATAAGAAGAAACTTTCTGACAGTGAGAACAATCAACCAATGGAACAGAAGTTGCCCACGGAAGTTGTGGGAGCGCCATCCCTTGAGACTTTCAAGAAGAGATTGAACTGCCATTTGTCAGAAATGGTGTAGGGTCTCCCGCTTGGTGGGGGGTTGGACAAGATGACCTACAAGGTCCCTTCCAACTCTGATTATCTGTTATCTGTCATCTAGGGTGTTGGCTATTCCTGCCAGCTTAGTATCATCCACAAATTTGATAAGTTCCCCTTCTATTCCCTCATTTTAAGTGATTTATGAAGATATTGAAGAGTACTGGGCCCAAGATGGAACCTTGTAGCACCCCATTGCTTACTTCCCTCCACGTACTAATGTGTTAAACAAGATCCACAGATAGTTAAAATATGTGCAACATCCAAAGAACAATTATTTGGATCTCTTCCTGGTCTGAAATAATAAGAAAAACATTCATTTTCAGTCCCACACAGTTTCTATAAAGAAGTATTCATCACGTCATTAATTTTATATACTTATTTTAAAAGCATTGAATTGACACATTTGTAAGTAACTACTCTTTTATTACTTCCATCATTTGGGGGAGGATTTTTTAATTTCAAATATAATTGTTATTAATACTGATTCTTAAAATTATGAATTCTGAAATTAAGGAATGTAAAGAATAGAACAGAGTAAGGAAGGAAAGTGAAAGGGGAGAAGTGAGATAAAAAGTAGGAACATTATAATGAAAGAGAAGAGAAATGTATAAAGAGACTTCCAAATTTTAACACAATAAGTATAAACAAATTTAGTGCTTCTTCACCTCTACAGGGTAACAACTTTTACCTCTTCATGCAATTTCCCATCTTTTATCTATAAACAAATCTATAACAGTCTTAATCTTTCATTCATTCAAATTTTGTTTTAGGAATTTAAAATTCATTTCGTCTTTATCCAGAGGTGGTCTTCAGCAGGTTCTGACCAGTTCTGAAGAACTGGTAGTGGAAAATTTGAGTAGTTTGGAGAATCAGCAAAACCAGCCTCTGTATGGTCCCGCCAACCCCATCTATTCTCTGCCTCCTGAGTCCCAGCTGATTGGCTGGGTCTTCTTTGGTTGGCCTGCACAGGAGAACGGAGCTGGAAAGCAGGTTAGTGGGGTGAAGAGGGAATGGGGATTTTGCAGTATCCTTCCCCTGACACGCCCATAAAGCCTGCCCACAAAACTGGTAGTAGTGAAAAAATTTGAATCCCACCACTGTCTTTGTCACATTGCACAGAATTCTTCAAGACTTTAAACAAGCTTTAACTTTTCAGAAATCCAACAGGAACAAAATTATCCAATTATCTGAGAATCTAGAAAGAGGGCAGAGAAGGGCAGCAAAGATTATTAGGGGACTGGAAACTAAAATATATGAAGAATGGTTGCAGGAATTGGGTATGTCTAGTTTCATGAAAAGAAGGACTGGGGTGACATGAGAGCAGCCTTCCAGTATCTCAGGGGCTGCCCCAAAG